GCAGTATGGCAAGACCTTGTTTCTACAAAAAATGCAAAAATTATCCAGATGTGATGGCATGCACCTGTGCTCCCAGCTACTCCAGGAGGCAAAGGTTGCAGTGAGCCAAGATCTCACCACTCTGGCTTGGGTGTCACACACACACACACACACACACATTCTCTCTCTCCCTCCCTCCCTCCCTCTCTCTCTCTCTCTCTCTCTCTCTCTCTCTCTCTCTCTCTCTCTGCTCAAGTCTTTACCAGACCACCCTGCACAACATAGCAAGTATGGGCCCTAGCCTTCTGGGTGCCAAAAAGGGGAAAGAAGCCTTTAATATTAATACTTTTATTTATCTGCTTCCTTTCACCCCCGTCTCCCATAGCACCCTGTACCCTATTCTGTGTAAGGATGTCTGATTTAATCTCTCCAGAGGGTGGAGAGCGGGCCTCTAATGTTACTGTGTGGCAGTAGGTGAGTAGTCACCAATGCTTGGGATGGCCATGTGGGATTTCAGGGGTCTTGTTGCACCTTTTAATGACTCAATTAATTCTGGTCTCAGCTCCATCCATGCCTTAGCCTCTAGTTCCCTTACTTTTCCAGTGTTGTGTGCTAATTGGCTGGATTTTTTTGTCTTCTCTTTTGTAGATTTTTAATTTTCAGTTTTCTCAGACTTGTGAATCTGACCCAGTTTTCCCATAGAACTGATGTTTATGATTTCTTTTGCATAAACCTAGCAATTGACCCTCCTAGTCTTGAAACTTGGGAAAGTTACGTTTGTCTTATCTGAAGTCCTTTCTCTGGAAGCCATCCATCAGACCTCCAGGGTAGTATCAAAGAACTGGAAACTTACAGATCACTGCACCTGGGCAATGAGTTGCCAGAACTCTTACCTGTCATAAGTGCCTAACCAACCACCTACTTCCTGTTGAGCAACTCCTTTTCCTTACCCCCCCAAATTCTTGTTTCCACACATGGTTATATGTCTTCCTGCTCTGTAGACCCCTAATTTTAGTCAGTCAGGGAGATAGATTTGAGAATGACTTCCCATCTCCTCAACTGTAGCACCCTATTAAAGCCTTCTTCCCTAGCAGTAATCGTCTCAGTGATTGGCCTGCTGTGCTGTGAGCAGCAGGACCTAGTCAAACCCCTGGTATTTTGGTAACACCTGTTAAGTCGTTTACCACATTCTAACTGTGAATTTTGGTGATAAGTTTTTTTGTTTTTCTTTTGGACATTTATATCTCTTTTGTTCCTGTAAGGTTATTTTGGTAGGGAGTAGATATAAGTGCCATGTATTCATTCACCTTTTGAAATTTTTTTGTCCTTAACAATGAATGTTACATGAGAAAATATGCAACCTACCTTTTTATAGATGTCTTTTTCCTGTAGCATGGCATTCTCAGTGGTGGTGATACTTGGTTTTTGAGGAGGGATGAAATCTTAGATAAAACAGTGGTTTATAGCCCCCAAAATTCTAATGGGCAAAAATCTTATCCTTAGTATTTAATTTTGAGGTAGAGGGTGTGGTGATGCAAAAAGCTTGAGAAACAGTGTTCTATTGCATTTCCTTTATTCTTGAAATTAATTAACTTTACAGAATATATATTTGTTTTGATCTTTCTATGTCTGTTTTTCCTGGGCATAGTGTATCTTTCTGTTATATGTGTTACATTCTCACGTTTGAAAGCACCAGCAAAAGTATTTGCTTTATCTCCTTTGATACTCATTATTATATTTCTTTCATTTTGTGCTTTTCTCAAATCTATTTAACATGCCCATGACTTATTTAACCTGGCTTTTTGTTGCTGCTTCCCACATTTTTAACTGTTTCTTTTTTCTTAGCTCTATCTTTTCATCACTTGTCTTTTCATCATTTGTCACCTTAATTCTTTAAACTTTTTAGTCTTTTTTTCCTTTAGATCGGGGTCCCCAAACCCCGGGCCATGGACCAGTACCAATCCATGGCCTGATAGGAACTGGGCTGCACAGCCGGAGGTGAGTGGTGGGCAAGCCAGCATTACCTCCTGAGCTCTGCCTCCTGTCAGATCATCAGCAGCATTAGATTCTCATAGGAGTGCGAACCCTATCTTGAACTGTGTATACAAGGGATCTAGGTTACACACTTTTTATGAGAATCTAATGCCTGATTATCGGAGGTGGAACAGTTTCATCCCGACACCATCTCCCCAACCTGTCTGTGGAAAAATTGTCTTCCATGAAACCGGTCCCTGGTACCAAAAAGTTTGTAGACTGCTGCCTTAGATCATATATTTATCACCTCTCAATGTTTTCCATTTAATTTTGGCTTCTATCCTACATTTATTTCATTCTAATAATTACCTGTCAGCACAAGACAAGGAGGATGAGACCAGTGAGGGACTTACCTCAATCACAAAATTAAAGGAAGCAAGAAAAACCTCAATAATCAAGATAAATATTTCATTTCAATATTTTTTACAAGACTAAATTACTGTATATGAGCAAAATAGCAACAATTTATATAAAGACAGGATCAGTTGTCATTGAATGAAGCAATCTGTTATAAGTTTGGGGAACATATGTGTGTATAATATAGTGATGTGAGCTTTATTGTATAACATATCCTCTTAACCAAATCAGTCATTTCCTTTGCCCTTTAGACTCATCTCTCATTTTTTTTCACTTTGTTGAGATTTAAAACTTCTGTGTTATTCACAGACTTTCTACATCACTTAAAATTCATGCTTTTCGCTTCTACACCACCTATGCTTCAGATCACTCATGGTGGAAATGGCTCCCTTGTTTGTATAGGAAGGTGTTTGCCAGAGAAAATGGTGAATTATGAGCTATATGTTCTTTTATTTTTCTAAAACTTTAATAAGGATGTTTAACACAATACAAAATGTAAAACATTCTCAGAACTACTGGCTGAAAATTTAATGGGAATGATCATGCAGTAAAAGTTTAAAACTCCTGGGCTACTTGAAGCAGTAGACTGATCATCTGTTTTACTTTCTTTACTTGGTTCTTTAGATCAGCATTCCCCTGTCTTTTGGCACCAGGAACCAGTTACATGGAAGACAATTTTTCCATGGAATGGGTGGTGGGGATTGGTTTTGGGATGATACTCTTCCACCTCAGATCATCAGGCATTAGATTCTAATAAGGAGCGCACAACCTAGATCCTTTGCATACGCAGTTCATTGTAGGGTTCCTGCTCCTATGAGGATCTGATGCGGCTGCTGATCTGACAGGAGGCAGAGCTGAGGTGGTAATGCTTGCTTGCCTTCTGCTTAATCTCCTGCTGTGCAGCCCCAGGTTTCTAACAGCCCATGGACTGGTACCAGTTTGTGACGCACAGTTTGGGGACCCCTGCTTTACATAGCATATATGTTTCATTTTCTCCAAGAAGCTATTCTTAATAATTAGACTTGATTCTTAAATTCCTGAATATTTAGAATTTAGTTAAATTTATGATCATTATTTTCTTTATGAATGTTGGACATCATCACTTACGTCTTTCTGTAATTATAATTACTGAAGCAGGATATATATTGTCTTGTTTTTCCCTTTTGCTTCTTTCTAACACACTCTACCTCTCACTGTAGTCTTATTGCGCAACATATGCTGATTCAGGAAATACTTACCTGAATCCTTTAATCAGTCTGAACTGTGATTTCTTGTCTTAATCTTAAAAGAGAAATTTTTTCATAGCCTAGAGAAGATTGTAGAGTTAGTTTGTATTGTTTTTGCTAAATAAACTGATGACATAAAAGATGGATTTTGTTAAGGGAGGGAGAGAATAAAAAGTAAACCCTGGGAGGAGTACAAGCAATTCTGTTGAACAAATAAGTTTTTTTGTTTTGTTGCCCAGAGCAGATTCTTTTCTCCCAAGCTTAAGAACCTTTTCAGGAAAAGATGTTGATTGACTCTCCCAGTGGAAAAAGAGGTGGTAAATGTGATGTATTCCTGTCATATTTTAATTCATTTATTGAAATTAAAAACAAGGATGTAAAACACTCATTTTACATATTCTTAAGAAGAGTCAGGAGCACTGAATCAAAAAGTTGACGTTTTCACTAAATGTTTACACCTTAGTGCAGAGTTTCTCTAGGTAGTTCACATAGATCTTATGTGATATTCATTTTATTTTTTCCTTTAGCTGGAAGTGCTCCTGGTAGTTACTGTCAAAGACATGTAAAAGCCTAGAGGTTAATTTTAAATACTTAAAGGACAATGTTAACATTATTTTTATCTTGCTTTGTTAAATTTCATAAAATTTGATAAATGACATCAAGAAGACTTCATAAAATAAAATTATTAAAAATGGGAATTTACTTTTGAATAACGGAGTAAGAAAAATATAGTAAATATCTATTCTAAAACTTATTTTGGCTTTTTACAAAAAAATATGCAGTTGGCTGGGCACAAGTAGCTGGTGCTTGTAACCCCAGTAACATGAGAGGCCAAAGTGGGAGGGCTGTTTGAGGCCAGGAGTTTGAGACTAGCCTGGGCAAACAAAGCAAGACTCCATCTTTTAAAAAATAAAAATAAAAATTAGCAGGGCATGGTGGTGTGTGCCAGTAGTCCCAGTTACTTGAGAGGCATGAGGATCACTTGATCCCAGGAGGTCAAGGCTGCAGTGAGCCTATGATCATACCATTGCACTCCAGCCTAGGCAGTAAAGCAAGACCCTCATCTCTAAAATAAATAAAAATAAAAGGTATCCGTTTGGTGGTGTTCTCACTAGTCAACTCAAAACATTTGATGAAAAATCTCAGCTCTGTTTTAGAAATAGATGTTTGTAGCGTATGTGACAACTCATTTGTAAGAGTTGTGAGTGAAATTTGGCTTTCCTTAACTGTGCCTCTATGCATTCTTATCTGAGACATCTTCAGTTAAGTCATTTGAGTAGAAAAATTAAAAGTAACAAGTCTCCCACCAGCACAGAATGAGCATGTTCATGTTTTGGCTTTGGGGCGTAGCACTTCTGAGGATATAATTAGCTTTGTTTTTCATTTTCTACTTTTTCTCCACAGCCTCATGATTTTGATGAATGTCGATTTGATATTAGTGTAAATGATAGTGTTTGGTATCTTCGTGCTCAGGATCCAGATCATAGACAGCAATGGATAGATGCCATTGAACAGCACAAGGTAAGATCCCTAATGTTTACCTGTCCATGGAGGACTAGGTAAGAGATTGTTGACACTGCCTTAAAAAAATTGACATGTGGCATTAGTTACTGAAACATTGAACACGATTTGGGTGGTAAAAATTAAAGCAGTTCATATGTAAATTTTTTGAAATAATTTTATTTTTAACACTTTAGTTGTACTAAGGATAGTTGCTATGATAAATATTTTTTTGGCTGAGCACAGCAGCTCATGCCTGTAATCCCAATACTTTGGGAGGCCCAGGCGGGTGGATCAGGAGGTCAGGAATTCGAGACTAGCCTGGGCAACATGGTGAAACCGCCCCTCTACTAAAAATACAAAATTTAGCCAGGTGTCGTGGCACATGTCTGTAAATCCCAGCTACTCAGGCAGCTGAGGCAGTGGAATTGCTTGAACATGGGAGGTGGAGGTTGTAGTGAGCCCAGATCAAGCTATTGCCCTCTAGCCTAGGCAACAGAGCGAGTCTCTGTCTCATTGAAGAAAAAAAAAAAAAAAAGATAAATATTTTTCATTGTTAATTAAAACAAAAATATCCCCTTTTTCATAAAACATATTTTGATTTTTCATTTAGGATTTGATTCATAATAAATACCTTTTTTATGATCTAAAGAAAAGGATTTTTGAAATAACATTGGATTATAAAACCCTAACTTGTAAAAGCGACTTTTGTAATAACTATTTGGGTAAATTCTTAGTACAAACATTTGTAAATCAGTTAATCTTTGTAAATGTGAAGCTATCTAATGATAAACCTATAGAAAGCCTTTTTTATGTAAATATATAAGGTACATTTATATAATTTAAGGCTAGTCTTTGCCTTTTGTTAATAAATATTAAGCAGACTAAAGAAATATATATTACTAAATCTGCCTTATTAGCTAATTCAATAATATCATGATAAAACAAAGAACAGACAAAGTTCTAAATCCACCATGTCATTCTTAAGTATGACTTAAAAGAAGTTTTGCTTGTTTATATACTTGCCTGTACTTGTTCGTTTGAGTTTCACAAAGTTGTAGTTGAAACACCTGTTTTGGTTATTTTTAACAGTCACAAAACACACACACATACACCCAAGAAAAACTAGTCTGGCCTGAGATTTCACAATTACATACTTCTTGATATCAATCATGTTACCTTTGTTGCTTGGTTTATTGATTAAGATTTCCCCCAGCTTCCCATATTTAAAAATAAAAATGAAAAGGCCGGGCGCGGTGGCTCATGCCTGTAATCCAAGCACTTTGGAGGCCAAGGCGGGCGGATCACCTGAGGTCAGGAGTTCAAGACCAGCCTGACCAACATGGTGAAACCCCCTCTTTAAAAAAAAAAAAAAAAAAAAAAAAAAAAAAAAAAGATTTCCCCCAGCCTAAACAAAATTGACTGTGTTACCTTTCTGTTTTTCTTTGTTTTAGCCTTAGGACTATATATTTAAACTTTAGTATTAAATGTTTAAAACATTTTCTAAGTCTTAGTTATCTTGGTCACGTGACTTCAGAGAAGTCTAAACATGGAAAAACAATTATTATTTTTCTATTATTTAAGAGAGATATGAGCTAGTATTTCAAAAATCTCAATGCTTTGGAGCCAGGCCTTACATGCAACAGTAGCTGCCATGTATGACATGTGTGAGCTTGGCCATGGTAATTAACCTCTTCTTAGTGTTTATTCTCAGCTGCCAATGTTGGTACTTTGCTCAAAGTTGTTGTAAGATATAAATGAGATAACATGCAAAGTTACTTACCAGAATGACTGATACATTTTCCCACTTATGGCATATAGGGAAAAGCAAGAGGTTTGGAGTCCCAACTAAATTCACTAAATTATACCATCTTGTTTCAGATGAAGAGTTTTGCATTAGGTGAGAGTAGCTAAATGTGCATATAAGGAGAACAGCCTGTTTCATGTTATTTAATCAGGGCTGGCCGTCTCACTGGTGATTAAAGATGTTATTAAGTAGAATTAATTTCTGTATTTCTAACTGAGATGACCTTTAAGGGCGATTTTAATCAGTTGATTTAAATTACAGGGCTAGTTTTTTTCTGTTTTAATTAAACATATTTTATTTTGTTCACTTTTCTCAGTAAAGTTCAATGACAGTTCCTTTGCAAGGTTCCTGTTTTGTGTTTTTTTCCTTTAGTGAAGATTATGCATGAAGCATCTATTTCTCGTATACTATTGATTTATTTACATCTTTGAACGATGGATAGATTTAATCTTTGGGTTTCCTCAGAACAGTGAGACTTAAGCTGAGATAATAAATTTCCAGTGATTTTAAGTTCTTGAAAAAAATATTCAACTGCAGGGTTGTTACACATTGTACAGTCTTGCTCTTTCTTTCTTTTTTTTTTTTTTTTTTTGAGATGAGGTCACTCTGTCACCTAGCATGGAGTAAGATCTCAGCTCTCTTCAAGCCTCTGCCTCCTGGGCTCAAGTGATCCTCTCACCTTAGCCTCCCAAGTAGATGGACTACAGGCACATGCCACCATGCCTAACTAATTAATTTTTTGTATTTTTGGTAGAAACAGGGTTTCACCATGTTACGCAGGCTGATCTTGAACGCCTGAGCTCAAGTGATCTGCCGGAGTTGGCTTCCCAAAGTCCTGGGATTACAGGCATGAGTCTCCGCACCCAGACACCCTTTCTTATTTTTAAAGACAGTTTATTCGTAGACAAGGAGAAATTATTAATTGTTGTTGTTAATGTTATTTAACATACTAAAGTAAAATATGTATGTATGCCAACTGAGCAGCCTATCAGTGAATATTTAAGTGAATTTATATTTAGAATATGAATTCTAAATTTTTGAGCTATTAACATGTAAGAGGGAGAAATGTCAAATGTTATCACCAAACACAATTGGTTTTTTTTCTCTCATAGACCAGGGCTAGTGAGATGTTTCTTGATTCGTTCTTCAGTATCATTAAGTCAATACTGTAGAAGCTAAGTTTAGTAATTTTACTATTTAAGTATGCATCATTGTCTTGATATTGTCTGTAAAACTGTACAGGCATAATAATGATAATGGTAGGAGCTATCACTTATAGAAGATCACCAAGAACTAATTATTGTATTAAGTGTTTTATGTGTTTTATTTTCTCCCTACTATCCTGAAAAATAAAGGACATATTATTTTGCAGGAGAGGAAACTGAGATTTAAATTAAAATTAAGTAATTTGCCTAAGACTGTGCTGTCTTTTAGTTCAGGATTTCTGAGAATTCAATTTTGTGTTAATCCTCTTGTCTATCTGTTACCATTAATAAACCAGTTGTTTATAAACAATTCCCATGAGCTAACCTCCTGCAAATTAAGAGTGTATCATCTGAGTTCTATACTACTATACCAAGATAAATACGAACTTATTTTTCTTTTTTGCCTATGGATTGTCAAAAAGGACAGTGTACTGTATTATATTGGTAACTGTTTCAGTACTGGATTCTGAAGTCTGGCAAATGTGGATTTGAATCCTGGCACTACTGTGTATTAGATTAGTACAAAAGTAACTGAAGTTTTAAACCATGATTTTTTTAATCATTTTAACTAGGCTCAAACACATCTTTATTATTCGTAACAGGAACCATTGCAATCAACACATTTTTGCCAATAAGAAATAAGTTTGATTATTTCTGTAGCATAAAACTCCATGATTCGGATTCTATGAACTCTTGGAAAGCATTTTCTGCATCCTGATGGTTGTGGAAGCATTTTCCCTGCGAAAAAGTTGTCGAGATGCTTGAAGAAGGAACTAGGAGTCAGTTGGCAAGAGGTCAGGTGAATATGATGATGAGGCAAAACTTCGTAGCCCAATTCATTCAACTTTTGAAACGTTGGTTGTGCAACGTGCAGTCAGATGTTGTGGGGAAGAATTGGGCCCTTTCTGTTGACTAGAAGCAGCTGCAGGCATTGCAGTTTTCTGTGCATCTCATCGATTTGCTAAGCATACTTTTCAGATGTAATGGTTTCACTGGGATTCAGAAGGCTGTAGTGGATCAGACCAGCAGCAAATCACCACACAGTGACCATGACCTTTTTTTGGTGCAAATTTGGCTTTGAGAAGTGCTTTGGAACTTTTTCTTGGTCCAACCACTGAGCTAGTCGTCACCAGTTGCTGTATAAAATCCAATTTTTCTTCACACATAACAATCTGATCAAGACCTGGTTCTTTGTTGTTACATAGAATAAGAGAAGATGACTGACATTTCAGAACTACAGTTTTTTTTTTTTTTATTTTCACTCAGTTCATGAGGCACCCGCTCATCAAGTTTTTTCACCTTTCCAATTTGCTTCAAATCCTGAACAACTATAGAATGGTCAACATTGAGTTATTTGGCAACTTCTAGCGTAGTTGTAAGAGGATCAGCTTCCATGATTGCTCTTAGTTGGTCGTTGTCGACATCTGATGGCCAGCCACTGTGCTCCTCATCTTCCAGGCTCTCATCTCCTTTGCACACTTCCTGAACCACCTCTGCAGTGGACTTTCATTAGCACTGGGCCAAATGCATCATTGATGTTGCAAGTTGTCTCCGCTGCTTTAAGACCCATTTTGTACTCAAATAAGAAAATCACTTGACTTTACTTTATTTGCTTTTTGTCTAACATCATTTTCATAGTCTAAAATAAACACATAAACAGCAGTACTAAGTCATTAGCAAAAATAAAAGCAAGAAATGCACATTAAAATGATTTATAATGTAACCACATTTATTTAAGAATGTATTCCATTATCAAATGGCAAATTTCAACAATGCAAAAACTTTAATTGCATTTGCACCAACCTAATACTAGCTGAGTGGCCTTGGTAAGTTATTTTAAGGAGGAAAAATTGATAGTTAATGGTATATGTTACCATACCCTCACCCCCTCACACCCTAACAAAAACAAGCAAACAAAATAACCTATCCATGATAAACCAAGAGTATTGTACTTTGTGGTTAGCCTGGGCACCAACATTCCAGCTTATTCAGTTCATTTAGTTACTTCA